GCACTCTATCATTGAACTTTATCGCTAACCCCTTTTAAATATTTTGAGATGGGGTCTTGCTAAGTTGCCGGGGCTAGTCACAAACTCAGGATCTTCTTGCCTTGAACATTGTACTCCTCTTACTTCATCCTCCCAGGTAGCTGAGATGATAGGCAGGTGCCACCATGTTAACTTCCAAAATTTAAAAAGTAAATCTTATGAAGCAAACTTGGAACACTAGGCCTACATCTGCAGTTCCGGATGGAAAGCCACAGGCACCTTTGGGTGGTACTTCCCCTCTTGTTGGAACTGCTGGTGACCACTTCACGTTTGTGCCCCTGGCAAGCCCCACGGGATGCTCTATGATAGTGATCTGAAAGACAAAAGTGAGACAAAATTCTAAAAATCTGCACTTGAGGGTGAGCAGGGGTCCTGGGGTACCTGAGAAAGTCGTCTGCAACAGCCTGGCCAACTGACCACTCATGTCTCTGCTCCACGGCACTTGGGCTGCACCTGCTAGGATAGCGTAGGACCACACTCTAAGGCCAGTGACAGGAGCAGATGCTGTAGGACATGTGGGTGCTTAGAAAGTTTGAGAAGAGGTTGTCCAAGACCTTTATCCAAAGGAAGATAGGATTCTGTGCTAGGATTTTTACTTGGGAAGCCAGCTCTGCTTGGCATTGTGAGATTTTCTAGTTTGTCAGTTTATAAACAGAAAGCCCTAGTTCCCTCTGGGAATGCCTAGCATTCATTATGTCCTGTCCTGATTTTTTTTTTTTTTTGGTAATGTGATAGTCAATTTATGAATATTTCAAAAGTAAAATCAATATGCTGCTCCTTGTGTGTGGAAGAAGTTATCTGAGAAGACACATAATTGATTTTGAGCTGGACAAGCCATTTCATCAGGGGGATGGCCCTAGTCTGCCTATGGTGGGGTTATTTGAAAAAGATCTCTTTTTGGAGCCACTGACACACACTAATGAATAAAAAATGTGTTTCCAGGATGTTCCTAAAACTTGCCTGTCAGAAGAGCTCGACCCTATGGAGAGAGCACCGGGCTGGCAGTTGTTAAAGCTCGTGCAGTTGCAGGGTCATAGACAGCTAGAGCTGAGAGACTGCAGGGGTCCTTTCATCTATTGTGATTCTATAAGTGGAATAAAATTAATGTAGTGTGGTTGTTCCTATGTGCTGATACTATAGCAGTTTTCACCAAAATGAGAAAAAGATGGTTACAATGAACTTTTCAAAAAGTTGGATGTATTCGGTTTGAAGTCCTATTATTCTGAAATTATGTTTTCTAAATCTGTGGGGTTAAAATATCTGATCTTTTATGAAATGATGGTAACAGAAGATAATGAAATAGCAACCCTATAAGGGTCACCCATTGGGGGTAGAGGAGTGTTTTACTAATTCTTGGAACCCAAATGTTTAGGAGCCACCAACCTATGCAACTGTGCCCCTCTTCCTATAGCATGATGATCTGGACTCAGCAGCTTCTAGAAGATGGCTGATCCTCCCCTGCCTTGGGCCCTGTCTTGATAGACATAGGATGACATTTGACATCCTCTGACATGACTACGATTTTGTGCTCTGATTTTTTTTAAAGACTTTTTTTTAGTTGCAGATGGGCAAATACCTTTATTTTATTTATTTATGTGGTGCTGAGGATCAAACCCAGTGCCTCACGCATGTGAGACAGGCACTCTACCGCTGAGCCACAACCCCAGCCCTTGTGCTCTGATCTTCAGCTGACCTTGTTTAATTAGCAGACCCACAGCCCCTGTGCCTTTTTGCAAGTCTCTTGAGAGGTCAGGGAATATAATTTCTGGAGCTGGGGCCATTGTTCACCTGCAGTCTGCAATCGGGGACTCCCAAACTTTGCTACTTGCTAAAATCACCTAGAGGACTTTTAAAAATCCTATTGCCAAAGTTGCACCCCATACTAGTTAATTTGGTGCTTCGGAGTGGGAGCTGGAGGTTGGACTTGGGCATCTTCGCCCTGGGTCAAGTAGGAGGAACTTCCGGCCCCAGTACTGGGAGTTCTGCCCCAGGTAAGGTTCCTTTCTAGGAGGTAGGCCCACTGCTATTCCTCATTCCTGTTCTGATTGTGACTGTTGCCTTGCTGGTTCTGATAGTTTGTCACACACACAAAAATGTGAGCTGACACCCACTTGCAGAGATTCAGAACACACATGGCCTGGTGCTTGTAAAAACAAACCACCAGACCCACTGCAGACTGTGAGGCCCTGTTTTATTTGATTCTCTGTGCAGAAGTTCAGGTAGACATGGTCCTACAGCCACTCTTGAGACTCCAGACTACAAAGACGGGTTTCCAGAGAGCATCTATGTACATATTAACTCTGATGCAAAATCCTGGGTTAGTCCAGGAAGAGATGGATAAGTGGTCTGGACTGACAGGGCACCAGGAACTTCTGTTTTATTGCTCGTCATCTCTCAATGCCATCTCTGTTCCTGCCTTGTCTTCCCTCCTCTCTGGGGGACCCTGCCTGCTCTGGCAGCAGTCACTGTGCCCTGCATCCCATTCTTCCTGCCAGCCAGCTTTTGCTCCCCATCAGCCCCTCTTCTCCACACTGATCGTACATGCCCCTGGGTCCTGAGCACCCTTCCTTTGGTCCACTCCGCCCTGCTGCCAGTTCCACCTTCAGCCTGCTGATTCCTCTCTTCTCTGTGCGATGGAAAGAACCTTGAGGGCCACCAGCGACTCCCTCATCAGCTCCACTGCTCTCCTTGGCCTCCCTGTGCTCATTCATGCTGCTGACCCAGCTTTATCACGAACCCCCAGCCACACTGTGATGAGACACTCGTCGGGCTTCTCCAGTCCCACTTTGGTTTCTGGTCCTCTGGGTCAGGGTCTGGGGCTGGTCCTTTTCTCTGCCCGTTTGCCTGCTCTCCTCCACTCCTGGGTCTCTACCCACAGTTCTGATCTCCCCCGAGCTTCTTCCATCTGTGTCTTTGGAGCCTCTTCAGAAGGCCTCGTTCTGAACTGGAGTCTTCCTCTCCTCCCAGCCTCGCTGCTAGAGCAGCTCTCCAGAGGCCTTCTCGCGTGGCTCGGCCTCTGTTCTGATGACTCCCTCTCACTCCCTCCCAACTGTCCTCTCCCTGGCAGTTTCACAAAGTTCTGTTTGTTCTTGACCCATAATTTCTCTCATCACAATCTCTTTCCAGCTCAAGGGCCACCATCCTAGCCTGTCTAGACCTTCCTGAAACCATGTTCCTCTGCCCAGGAACCCACCTGCCCTAGTCGTCATTCCTGGAGCCCTGTGGTCTGAGCTGCTCACCAAGCTGCTCTCCAGCCTCCTCACCCCTCCTCCCTCACACAGCCTCCCGCCTGGCGTCTGTGTCACCTGCCTCCAACCTTCCTTCATGCCATTCCCTTCTCTCGGCTCAACCAGATCCTGCTCATCCTTAGATTTTCCTTTCCTGTGTATAAAATGTGTCTTTATCGAGAATAGAAAGTGTTTTCCCTCTGAACTCTCTTATACTCTTCTTGTCCTTTTCCCATAGTGCTTTTGTTTATTGGCTCGAATCATTGGTCTTCCTGTGCTGTCCTCTATAAGCTGTTTAGAGGGCCAAGGCTGCCTTCCCATGGGCTCCATGGCGCCCCCTGTGGGGCCCTACCTGCATGGCAAGGGTTTTCAGCATCCACTTGTTTGCAGGTTGATTTAAAATTGTGGGTTGAGGTGTTGGGGTCATAGGGCCCAGGGTTTAATCACCAGCACTGGGAAAAAAAAAGGTGTGTGTAATTTTTTAATTTTAAGTTCCTTTTTTACAGCAAGAGAATTGTCTAGGACTAGTAAAAACAAGTATTTCCATAGAGTGAAGAAAAACCTGAGAGGGGGGCACAGTTAGTCTTCCTCCTGAAGAAGGAATCTAAAAAAGAACTTCTATAATTGAGAATTTAATGTAGGATAATTTAATACAGTGTGATCAGAATAATGGGGTTCATAATAGTTGATGGCATGTGTAGCATGTTAGTTGACCACTAAATATGAGCCCCTTTCTCCTGATTTATGAGAGAGAGGGATAATTGTGTCTGTTTCATAGAGTTACGAGCATTAACTGGATTAACAAAACATCATGAGGTGTTAGCACAGTTGCTTTTCGACAAATGGTTGCTTAACATTTGTTAACCCCTTGTAAAGAACGTGCTGTCGAGATGCCTGCTCCCTGGAGAGGTAGTCATAGGTAATGTGAGCAAGACACATTGGCTGGGACATCTAGGAGTGAGACTCATTGAGAACATTGCATAGGCCAGGAAACTCATGTGGAGCACCTCCCCTGAAAGGATTATAGTGGCTTCGGGGCTTTGGGGGATGGATAAGGTGCAGTCTTCCCCACAGAAGTGGTAACGATGGAGAGAAAGGTTGTAGACAAGTTGGAGAAAGAGAAACCGGGGGAAAGGTTAGGGGAGGCAAAGGGAGTTCTGTTCCAATGGAAGGAGACTCTAGGCACTTTTCCAAGATGATGAGGAGAAGGTCCATGTGCCCCCAGTGAGCTGGCCTGTTGGGTCTCTGCTCAGTTACTCAGGACATAGGGTTTATGAGATCGGAGTGGTTCTGTCCAGGACTTTGATCCATGGCCACAAACCATACTGGCCCTTGAGCTGGGTTCTACCCCAACTCTCGGTCCTGCAGGTCAGCTTGGGCAGCCACCACTGAGCACCAGCTCAGTGTTTTTCTCACTGATGGAGCAATAGCACCACCTTTTTGTTACTGGAGGGCTCTCAAAGAGCCCAAGAACTAAGGATGCTGGAGAATATTAAGTGGACTCGCAGATAATAACTGTCACACTTTATTACTACCTGCACATATCCATCCAAATCTGGTTTTCCTATTAAAGATGAATTAACCCCCTCTTCAACATGAGAAAAATTATCTAAAGCTTCCTTGGGATCATTGGGAAAGGAATTTAGACAAAAGCCTGAGGAAGGACCAAATTTTGTGTCAACTGTGCATACAGACTCACACGGCCAGACTCAACCACCCCTTTTCTTTCCACAGGGGAAAGTGGAAGTGGAAGCTGGGAAGGAGGGGATGAAGTTTGAAGCAAGTGCGTTCTCGTACTATGGCGTCATGGCCCTTACAGCCTCTCCAGGTGAGTTTGGATCTTGCTTCCTAGGCGGGGCCTTGCTTTAGGCAGTCCTGCCCTTCTACAGCAGCTTTCTCTCCATACCTGCCGATTGACTTTATTTACTTACTTTTTGAACTTTTTATTGATGTTAATCATAGTATACACTTTTGTGAGTTTCTCACACTGAACACACCTGTGTAGTCCATCATTGAGGTCGAGACAGAGCGTCACCCACCTCACAGAAGCCCCCTCAGGCTTCCTGAGTCACTGTCCCCCCAAAGCAACTACCATCTTGAGCTTTGTATAAATGGAATTATGCAAATGTACTCTGTGGAGCTCTGCTTCTCCCCCTCCGTGTCGTGCTTGTCACCCTGGTCTGTGGTCTTGTGTGTGCTTGTTACGTGTTTCTTCTTGCTGCATTGTAGTATTCCATTGTGAGAATCTACAGCTGATGGACACTGGTAGTGTCCTTTCCTGTTTGGGGCTACTTGAACTGTGTGCGGAACCTTCCTGGCCGTGTCTTTGGTAAACGTGTGTGTGTTGAACTGGAACTGCTTGTCATGGCCTGCGTGCTTCTTCAGCTCAGGTGGACACTGCCCAATAGTTCCCAGAGGGTTGTACCAGTCACACCCCTGCCTGTTCTGTGAGGGTTCCAGTCACTCTCCACCTAACATTGGAGACTTCTAAATGTTAGCTACTCTGGAAGTTCTTATTTGCATCTTTCTGAGAATGAACAAGTTTGTTGATACCTGCAGCCTACGGCCACCTCTCCTCATCTAGAGAGCAGGCCTTTTGAGTTGGCCAGCTAAGGGGTGGGTATGCCATGGTAGATTAACCAAGAGCTCCATGCAAAAGATTCCAAGATGCTGTAAAGCTGCCCCAGTCCGAGAAGGGCATGAACACGGACATACCTGGTGTGCTTGCTCACCTCGGATGGGTCTTGAGTGCACCTCTGCATTTGCCATGGAGGGCATTCACTTGCAGCCTTGCTCTGGCTGGAGCAGGTCAGCAGGTAGACAGGTGCCGGAGTGCCACCTTGTGGCCAAAATGCCAAATGATAGACTGTCTTGGGAAACAGACCTCCAACCTAAAAATAACCCAACCTAAAAAGATGACTGTCACTTTTGAAAAACACTCTTAAAAAAGGGAGAGGACATCTCCAGACAAGTCTGTTTTTGTGATGTTTTTCTCTATCTACTGTGCCAGCCGGCAGTCTGAGGGGCCCAAGGATGTTACAGGGCTCTGTCGAAAGCCAGGGCACTGTCGCATGTCTCTCAAAGTTCTAAACTTCCTTTGGCCCAGATGCATCTCCTCACTGTCCCATGCAGGTCTAGGGGGGCCACAGGCACTGACCAACTGCTGACGGACACCCAGTATGAACACAGGCCTTTCTGACCCTAGTTAGTAGGTGTGTCTGTGGTAAACTTGAAGGTGATCTTCTGTTTTCACTGTTAGCTTGTGTGAGAGAGGCTTTTACCAGACATGAGGAGACCTGGGTACAGCCACAGTTCCATCATTATAGGCTATATGACATTAGGACAGGCCCTTGGCTTCCTCATTGTTGAAGAATATGATAATATTTCCTCCTGTGATTATTAGGATAGAAGGCAGTAGTGGTTCCACAAGTGTGCTGTGACCTTTACAACATGAGCAGAAATGTCTTATAATATAAAGATGTTGTCATTGTGACTACTTTTGGCAGCCAGCCTCAGATTAGCCTCAGGTTAGCAGAACCAGATCTGTATGGTGACTTTGAAAAGAAAGAAGCCCCACCTGTGCTCTTTCATTGATTGCTGGTTCTCTAAACCTAAATATTAGCCCAGTGCATATTGAACCACATTTTAGGGACAAATCTCATTCAGAAGAGGAATTGAAGAATACCCGTTCACTAGCAAGGCCCCGGGGTGGCAATATCCTCCCTCGCCTAGTTTGAAGCTATCAATAAAGAAGGGAAGTTTATTAACACTATTTCACTTATTCCGAAGCCTAGTGTTGTACTCGACTGTACATCTAGCTGTCTGGAATTTTGTATATTCATTGAGAGATGCATTTAGTGCAGGCACGTCAAGATAAAGAGATGCCTGTTTCTATTTATTAAAGTTAGCTGTCTGGAAAAAACCTACAATCCTTGGTTTTCAAGATGTGCCCAACATTGTGTGTCGATGGGACCGCAGTTCCCCCTCCGAGTAAGTGGCAATGAGCATGACCTTGATCAGCCATGCTCAGGAAATCTGGGCTTGAAATGCTTTATTCAGTTTCCTCTATTTTGAAATTTGAAATTATTCCAAAGCAGTGCAAAGCATCAGGTCAAAAAAGACTCACCGAGAATGTGAATGAATTGAATAATTAATTACTTGCCACAGAAACGAGCGCTGTGGGCTGTGCGCTGAATAAGTATTGGGTGCGGCTTGGCCATCCTCTTGGTTGATCAGTTGGGCTCCCTTTTTGGGTGGCTATTTGTGATGAGGTCCTTAGCAGTAGCATGTTTGGGGGCTGCGAACCTCGATGCGGTATTATTGGCTTAAGAGATTTCTAGGCTAGGCAGGGAGCATGTGAATAGGATTTCTCCTGACTGAAGCCTCCCCGGTACCTCTTCCTGGAAAGCAGTGTGGGCTTTGTTTGTCATATTACATGGCTTTTGCATTTCTGTGATTGAATGCTCCTATCAGTAGAACAGGTGTCCGCTCCTGTCCCTTGATTACAGAGATCTCCCTTCTTGCCTTTCAATATGGTCTCACCCTGTTTTTCTCCATTTTTTCAGTTCCTTTGTCCCTGTCTCGTACCTTTGTTGTCAGCAGAACAGAGTTGTTAGCAGCAGGTTCTCCAGGTAATTCTGCATGTTTCCTTTTCATTCTCCTGATTTGCCTCCCCGACCCTGCGCAAGCTGGCTGGCCTGGTCTGCTCCCTCTATTTGGACAAATCTGCTTCTCATTTTCCTTGGAGCCCTGAGACTAAGGTTCTCTGACTCAACAGTGAGCCATTCAGGAAAGCATAAGCCACTGTAGGTACAGAAAGAGTTAGGAAAGCTGGGAAAGGATTCAGGAACACAGAAAGGGAGAATGACAGGCATCCTTAATGTCACCTGCCCCATCCCACCTGCACTGCTAGCCTGGGATTCTTGGGTCAGCAAGGGGACGGCGTCTTTTGTACCTTCCTCTGTCTCCTGGAGTATGGAGGTTGCAGGGTCTCAAAAGCTGAGGCTAGAACACATTCATCTTCTACAGAGTGTATTAGATCAAAAGCCTGAAGGACCGTGAGCTTTTCTTAGCAAACTAGGATAGTTCTCCATCCACAGAGGTCAACAACATTCCTGTTTCTTTGGTCATTTTTCCAGCATCCATGTGAACAGGGGGCATGTATTTCTGCTTACTATCAGGCAGGTGGCCCCCGCTTCTCCCTGTTTCCCTTTGTTTGTTTTGAAATTAGTACCATGCACATTCCTAACCAGCTGCTGATTACTGCCCCGCAGGAGAGTTTGGCCATGCCTAGCTAATATGTCCACCCATTAAAAAGAAAGGCTTAATCTTTCTTTAATTAAATTTGCTGGACTTTCCTATTGGGTAATACAACTTTTATATTTATTTTGTTCCATACAGCTTATGTTTTTAAACCTGACTGATGAAATTTGCATCTTATAATCCAGTTTAGCAAAACTCTACAATGCTGATATTCGGTAAAAGAGGCAAACTTTGTCTTAGAAGTAAACTAATGTTCCCTCAAATCTTTGCTTCTAAAGTTTGGGGGTAAGATGTCATAGAGCTCTAAACAAACCAGCCAGCAAAATACGTGTGTGTGTGTGAGTGTGTGTGTACACACATTTTTTCATTTTGTTTGCTTGTGTCTGTTACCTGTTTAAATTGTTCAGATGCTAAAGCAGGTGACTTTGGGATGAAGCCCCTGGACATGTAATTTGCATTTTACTTTTACCATAGAGCTTAGAAATTTCTCAGCTCTGCCTGCTTCATCTGATCCAGTGATCGTGAAGTCCCCTTTTGTAGGTCCACACTTGCAGGGATGCTCACATTGCAGTAATGTGTGATACCTAGCAAACGGGAGTTGGACGGAACCAGTGATTTCCAGCCTCTTCCAGCAAGGAGCCTTTTGGCTCCAGGCAGGAGGCTGGGAATGTTTCTTTATTGTGTCTTCTAGCTTACTGCTTAAAGGAAGGAATTGAGTCTGAGGCAGGATGGATAAAATCAGCCAGGACAAAGCAATAAAATAAGAAGCCAGCAAAAAATAAAAATTGAAATTTCCCCCCATAATTTTATGAAACCTTAGCACATAAATTGGATGACAAAGTATGACCTGAACTGAGGGACAGCTGCTCCAGCCTTGACTCTGTGTGGTAAGGGTCTCTCTGTATCTCATCGCAGGTGAATGCATTTGATTCCAGGGGATGCCCCAGAATTGCTGGATGGTGCATGTAACATGGGGCAGACAGATCCTATTACCTTCCTAAATTTTAGGACATCTCTGGTCTCCAAGGGTTTTTAGATAAATGATGTGGACCTGTATTATTAAGTCTTACTTTAATTGTTATAATGACTGCACTTGAGGTACAAGCTGTGAACTGAAACCAAGTGTTGTGTCCCCACTTGATTATGCCAGGCATCTGTGCGCTATAGAAGGGGTTCTGGGAAATGGGCTGCTTCTCCAGGCACTGCTATGGCATACAACAGGAGTGGGCTTCAGGTAAAGGAGAGGGTCCATCCCCAAAAACAAAGGGCTATGGTCACTAACAAGACTCAGAAGTATGCAGAGGCCCCAGTCTCCACCTGCTAGTGCATAAGGTCTGACCAAAAAGCCAAGTGTCCTGTCAGTGCCTTGCTTTTACACCTTTAAATTTTAACACTTAGAAGTAAACACTGTTTCAAAAAGTATAGGCCTGTAATCCTAGAGGCAGGAGGATCACAAGTTCAAAGTTGAGACCCTGTCTCACAATGAAAAAGGGCTGAGTTTGTGGCTTAGTGGTTAAGCACTCCTGAGTTCAATCCATAGTACCTCACCCCCTGAAAAAAGTTATCTATAGAAATGCTGATGGGATTTATGGCCAAAGCCCAGAGGTACAGTAGGATCCCTGTCTCAAAGAAGTAATGGAGGCAAAGCAGGTGAGGTGGTGCAACCTGTAATCCCAGCAACTCAGGAGGCTGAGGCAGGAGGATCACAGGTTAGAGGCCAGCCTCAGCAATTTAGCGAGGCCCTAAGCAACTTAGTGTGACCCTGTCTCAAAAAAAAAAAAAAAGGGGGGGGGGGACTGGGGTTGTGGCTCAGTGGCAGAGTGATCACTTAGCACAAGTGAGGCACTGGGTTCGATCCTCAGCACCACATAAAAATAAAATAAAGATATTGTGTCCACCTACAACTATATATATAATTTTTTTTTAATAAAAAGAGCTGGGGATGTGGCTCAGAGGTAAAGCACCCCTGGGTTTAATACAAAAAAAAAAAGCCCAAGAAACAACTCCTCATATTTCTGTTATTGTGGGTGACATTATCACCACGAGGAAAGACTTTGTCCTGAGGATTGGTGCGTAATGAAGAGTCTGAGGAAGCTAATAGGAGAGAATATGAAATGTTAACAAGGCACTTTTATCAAGTTCATACTGGATGTCAGATGTTATGCTAAGCACTTTGTTATCTTTTTACCCCTCAGATCTTATGAGGTAGGTACTTTATTGTGTACTTTTTACAGATAATGAATTTGAAGCTTAACAAACTTGGTCACCTGTTCTAAAGTTCCATTCTGCATTGATAAATTATTAATGTGCCTTGTTCTTATATAAGATAGTGGAAAGAAACAAGAGAAACTGCTACTCTGAATTTAATTTAATTTAATTTAACAGTGGAAAACTGGTTAATGACATGACAATTGTAGACATAAAAGTTTTGACATGGAAATCTTAAAAGAAAGTGGATTCATCATCTGAGAGTCCCAGAGCACTAATGTTTATTCCAAATGTCTTATTTAAAGAGGGACATTTACAAATGTAGGTTAAGACTGGGGGATCAGGATGGGCTGAAGGGTTGGTAACACATGATATAAAGAACAGCAGCTGAGGGGCTGGGGTTGTGGCTCAGCAGTAGAGCACTCGCCTAGCATGTGTGAAGCCCTGGGCTCGATCCTCAGCACTATATATATATATATAAATATAAATATAATAAAGGAATAAAGGTATTGTGCCCATCTAAAACTAAAAAAAGCATTTGGCCTGGAAAAGAGTAGACTTCAGAAGGACATGACTCTCCTCATATTTTAAGGACTATTTCTTTCAAATAGCAGAGGAATAAAAGTTGTCCAGTAGTACTCCGGAGTGGAAGTGAGACTAGGTTGTCACTGAAAGCCAAGGAGGCTGAGTTTGATTGACCATGAGGACAACTTTCTGACAATTGAAGGGCAAGACTAGATACTCTTCTATGGGAGTATCTGTCAGGGAAAACTTGCAAAAATAGGTCCCCTCCATACCTGTGACATCATACAATTCAGGACCTGTTTGTTGTAAGCACCCAGTTAATATCTGTGCAACAGAGGTGGTTGGGAAAGCAAAAATGGAGAAAGCCTTGTAGGGATAGGTTTTATTTTTATTAAAAACTACAATGAATTTCCTCTAAGAGTAAGAACAGTACTCACCTGCAACTCCTTTTACTTTATCTTATTGAAAGGATGTTATCAAAACTTCACCAAAGCTGGGCATGGTGGTGCATGCCTAAAATCCAAGCAGCTTGGGAGGCTAAGGCAGGAGGATTGTGAGTTCAAAGCCAGCCTCAGCAAAAGTGAGGTGCTAAGCAGCTCAGTGAGACCCTGTCTGTCTCTAAATAAAATACAAAATAGGGCTGGGGATGTGGCTCAGTGGTTGAGTGCCCCTGAGTTTAATTCCTGGTATTCCCCTGCCACCCAAAAAAAAAAAAAAAAAAAAGCTTCACTTAGAACTGAGTGTGGTGGCACACCCCTATAATCTCAGAAGGTTGAGGCAGGAGGTATGTAAGTTCAAGGCTAGCCTCTGAAATGTATCAAGACCTTGTCTCAAAATTAAAAGAACTATGGATATAGCTTAGTCATAGTGTTTGTCTCGCATGTACAAAGTCCCTGAGTTCAATCCCCAGTACTGCACAAGGAAAAAAAAAAGGAAAAAAATCTTAGTCCAGGTTCTTGAGGATTTGGTATCCTCAGTGTTCTGCATTCCTGAGCTATCCTCCAGCTGCCTGGTGGGATTATTGGATCAGAGACAAAGGTAATAGGCTTGGCTGGGGGTCAGGAATGAGAAAACAGAAGTATTTTGAGCCATTTAAAACACATATGGATTTATGGACATTCTCCAGTCTTTTTTTGTTTTTGCTTCTGGCAAAGGTAAGAGCCATCCTCTTGTAACCTGTGTTTGATATCAGGTGACTAGGTGACTTTGCTATCTCAGGCTTTGTCCCTCATCTGTACATTTCATAGCATCCAGTGATGTTCCTCCCAAAGGTACAAGGCCACTGTGAGACTTGGGAGGATTCTGTCACAACTGAGATCAACATAACCTGTCCCTGAGAAGCCAATGAGGCTATCTGTGCAGGACGCCTGTGTTGTAGCTGCAGGGCAACGGCACCTGGGATAAGCTCATGGGGCTTGTGTGGTAATTATTAGTTTTCACTTGGAATAAAGAGCCGACTATTGGCTACCTCTGCTTTAAGGGGCATTTTCTCCTTTTCTAGGTGAAAATAAGTCACCTCCTCGCCCATGTGGCTTAAATCACTCAGACTCTCTCAGTCGAAGTGACCGGATTGACGCAATAACACCAACGCTGGGGAGCAGTAATAACCAGCTCAATTCTTCATTTCTGCAAGTCTACATCCCTGATTACTCAGTGCGAGCCCTTTCCGACCTTCAGTTTGTCAAGGTAAGTGAAGAGAGGGTGGCTTGGCTGGACCCTGGGTAGATGCCAATTTCTATGGCAGATTGTTGGGGCTTCCTAGCCCCTCCATTGTGCTTTCCGTTTGAAACTGTGTTCCAGTTCTTTTCCACAAACCCTCCCTCTCTCAGCTGGGCCCAGGACTAAGTCTAGGAAACACATTTATCCTTTGGCTGTACCAATTGAGCTGCCAAATCAAAGGTAGCCTGTTCAGGGGCTGGGAGCTGGAGATCTGGAGAAAAAGAGCCAACATTTTCCAAAAAGCAGTCGTGAGCCCATGACGAGTGACTCTGGGTAGCTTGGAAGGGGTGGTGAGCTTGGGAGACTCACAAGGCTACTGAGGGGGATGCACCTCTGGAGAGCCTCCTCTTGCCTTCTGCCCTGGAGATAGGTTCTTTTCTTAGTGTAGTGGAAGCTCATCTCTATTTTCTCATCTCTCTGGTATTGAGTCAAAATTTGGAAATGGTTTACATCAGTAAACTGACTTGTTTGCCATAGTCAATCTGAACTTTAAAAAGTGACTCCATTTAAGCCTGGAACCCTGGCACATGCCTGTAGCCTCAGCTACTTGGGAGGCTGAAGCAGGAGGATTGTTCAAGGCCAGGCTGAGACCCCATCTCTCAAAGGCAATTAAAAAAAATGGCTTAGTTTATGCTCAAGGATGATTTTCTCCTGTAGTAACTACTATTATACATTAAATCCTTTTGGGGGATTTAATGTATAATATATGTTAGAGACAAGAGGACCTAAAATTAAGCATTCTCTTGGTTTGTTTTCTGTGTCATCTTCTGGCCCCAGATCTCAAGACAGCAATACCAAAATGCCTTGATGGCATCCCGGATGGACAAAACCCCTCAGTCTTCAGACAGTGAAAACACTAAAATTGAATTGACTCTTACGGAGCTGCATGATGGGTTGCCAGATGAGACGGCCAACCTGCTCAATGAACAGAACTGCGTGACACACAGCAAGGCCAATCACAGCCTGCACAACGAAGGCGCCATCTAGGGGTGCCTACACTGGCCCTCCTTGACCGTCCCCCCCCTGAGGCTCTGGCCTCTGTCAGACCATGACTTCATTAGTATGAGCTTGTCTGCCATGCTGCGTCCTGCAACATTCTGAGACCAAAGACTTTGTCCCCTTCCTGGAAGCCGCAGAGGACAGCAAGAGAAGGAATGGGAAACTAGAGATGAGAAAGCGACAGCTGGGGCATGGTGTTTAAGATTTTGGAGATGAACTTCTTCGCCCAAATAGAATCATGTTTATTTTTTCAGCTGTACCTTTTATCATTTACTCACTCTCCTCCCTCAATTTGCATGAAGTTGAAAATTGTTGCGATTTATTTTTTCAAGAGATCATGTTTTTCAAAAGTGTCTTTTGCAGAGTTTTAACTTGTTCTGTCTGAACTCTGCTGTGGTCCCATGATGTGACCCTAATAGGATGGACTTGCCCTCAAGTGGCCTGCCGTGGCCTTCCCAGGGAGGGACACCCTTCCTCTGTGCCCCAGTGGGTGTCGCTGTCGAACTTGATGGATGAATGAAGAAAACCGTGTCACTGCAGAACCTGCCAAGTCTGTCGTCACTGTGGGGTGTGGCATGCAGAGGGACCTGTGGTCGGTCGCCTCTCTGTGCTCAGTGTTGTTTTTGAGAATTTAATGTTTAACCATGCCCCTTTCCCTCAGGAAGGTTTAACATTTGCTTGGGAATGTGATTTTGCTCCCACCCTAAGGAATTTTTATCACCAAAATGAATGTTAATGAATTTTAAACCCATGGTTTATCATTGGCAAGAGGCAAGTTGACTTCATCCTGACATTCCTTCGGCCTGGGGTCTCTGGCTCAGCCAGCTGTCCTCTCACACCCCAGTTCACAGAGCGCCGTCTCCACCTCCCCAGCCCTTGCTCTTGCTAACCCAGGATGCTGCTACACAGATGCCAAATGGAGACCTTCCACAGGGCTTTTCAGTAAACATGTGATGTGGAGGTCACGTCCCTTCCCTTCCCACGGGAACATATGTAGTTATCAGAACAGGAGATGGATTCTTTACTTGGGGCCAAGAGGGCATGTCTAAACCCATGTTTTTAAAGGAGGGAACTTTGGGGATTTCCAGGGAGCCAACTGTCCTCCTTTTCCTTCGTCTCTGGGCTCAGGAAGCCCATTGGTGGCAGCGTCCCCCAAGGACTGCTGTGCCTCCTGCCTCAAATGCAGCCTGCACTAGAGAGGCTGCTTGGACAGCCAGGGTCAGTTTGGCCCCAAACAGGGATTCAGCAACCAAATGTTTGTTGTGGCCATTTCATGTGTGTCTCTGTCTTACTTTAATACCAAATTTACCATGTGTAGTGAAATTAATGTCAGCAGATATTGAGTGACTGCTTTCTTAACTAGCTTATCTGTGTTTTACCATTAGCCCAAGAGATAGGTGCATCTTGCTAGCGATATTCATACACTGAAATGAATTCTCCTGCCCACAGTGTTTATATAGGACTATCCATACCCACTGAGGCTGGTCACTGGCAGAGAAGAGAGCATTTCTGCATTTGGGCTTACTGCATGCAGGAGGGGGGGCTCAGCAGCAGTCTTCTGCCCCCTCAGGTAGGAAGTGTGCTCACCCCTGGTTGGGCTATGTGGGGGGTGATGTGCTGGGCTGGCCTCTTGGTGAGCAGTTTGGTGGCTGTGGTGTCAATGCATGACTGATTTAAGTGTTTGCCCTGAGGTGGCAGTACGGGCATGTCTTCCTCAGATGCTGTCATGCCCCTTAGTGAGAGAGATACTGGCCTCACTTGGTGGAGGGTCATGGAGAGTGCCCCTAAGGGACACCTAGGGACAGAGCCTGTATCGTGTAGCACCCCACACTGGAGTGTCCCCTTTTTCAAGTATGTCCATCCAAGTTAAAAAGCCCATTTCCTAAGATGCATCTAGCCAGACACAACACAGATATGACAAGTGTGTACAAATGAGAATTCTCTGTAACAAAAAGAAACCTGGGCCTGGCCATAGCAGGGGTCTCTCCCTCAATGAACTGCCACTTTGGCCCAGTGGTGCTTGCCTTCCCTGAGGTCTCGGGAGCCAGGTGGTCAAGCCGAGGCTCTGTGGCCTCAAAGAACTTCACCCAGACCACCTCTCGGGCCCAGGGCCTCTCTCCATGTACAGTCTCAGGGCAGCCTTGCTAACAGGAGCCTCTGAAATGAGAGTCACAGGCTGGTGTCTTTCTCAGAGCCCCACTGTTGTTCATGGATCCTAAAGACCTGTGAGAGGGGAGTAGGGGGAATACCAGCCACTGCCTCTTAGGAGAAACAGGAAATTTTTAGTATGCTGTCTTGCTGCTCAGCATGGTGGCTTCTTGCAGAGTATTCTGCTTATAAGGAGCTGGCAAGGTGGCACTACAGTGGGGCTCCCAGAGGATGAGGTTTTAGCCTGCCAAGATTTTACTCATTTTCTGTTAACTATTTTTCACCTTTGATTCACACTTTTGATAACACAAAATCCAGAACAGTTCCTATCTGGTCCCCAAAGGAACAAATGTGAACTATATGTAGCTATAATTACAGCTGAGGAGAGCTAAAGACCCTTCAAATAGCACTCATGTCTGAACCACCAGGTTCTTTTCCAAATCTCATGTTCCCTCTGAGTCAGATCCCTCAGACAGTTGAAGGAGAAACACTGGTCCCTTTCTTCTCTGGGGCAGCAGGAGAGTGGTCTCACTTAGGAGGACCCATGCCAGTCGGAGCTGTAAAGTCATTGGGGCTGGGCTAAAAAGACTGTTAATTAGGTTAAATCTTGGTGCATAGTTGCTGCACCTCAGCGCTCTGGCTGGATTGTCCTCTCCTAGGGTTGCCATCCAGATGCAGCCCCCACCCTCAGTTCTGTGCTGAGGGCCTTGCCTATAGTGGCCTCTGCTGCCAGCCTGGCTCTATGGTTTGGGAGAGACCACACTTTCTCCTAAGCAGCCACTCTGGCATCCTGAAGGCTCCACTGGAACTAGACTCCTGGGATCCGAATGTCCAGGACATTTTGCCCTCTTTGCAATGGGGCTGTTTTCAAACTGTCTTTAGAGGTTCCCTCCCTTCATGGTTCTGTTCTGTATTTATCGTCATTTTGTCTGTATTCATCAGGCAAGTCCAAAATCATGTATTTAAACTCTTAGGAAAACAGAACTCTAAGATTTGTAAATGGATTTACTAAGGCACTAATCAAATAGCTTAAATCTTGGTATTTAAATAAGTTGAATTTGAAAGGGTGCCACATTCAATTCTGTTCTTCCTTCCTTACCCTCCACCCCGTCCCCCACACTGCACTCCCTGCAGAGAACTCAGTGCCATGGTGGACATGTTTGGCTTCCCTAGTGGAGAAAGTAGGGCATCTTGCCTCTTTCTAATGTTTTTTTTTCCCCCCCAAGGAATTTGTGCAAATGCTGAATGCAGTACTTCACATTAATATTGAACACTAACTAAATAGATTTACCTTGACACCCCCATTCCATACAACTACAGGACCAGCTTTTCCAAGTCTAGGAAAATAGTGGTAGATGCCAATAGAAATGCATTTTTATACCCCTAGGAAACAAAGGAACAGGATAATTTTGAGCTAAGCAGGAACCATAAATTTCAGCCTTCAAATTCTCCAGGTTGAGGAGCAGACCTAAGGAGGCACTGACTAAGCCCAAGTCCCAGCTGACAAAAATATACACCACCTGTCATCTTTTGAAGGCCACCCGGGATCTGTGACCATCTTTGCCATACCTGGGCCATGGAGCAAAGTCTCCAAGGAGCTTTTCAGGGATAGTCCCAGGCAGATGACTCCTGTGTGTTGGTGCAGAAGGTGCTCTCTTTGGTCCCTGGGTCTCCAAGAAAAGGCCAAGGAGGGCTGACTTTGCACACTGCATTGCATAACCCATGCTCCCAGGTGGTATGGGCAGTGGGCACAACTCCTGTCTGCTCTAATCCTAGAGATGGACTTTTGCAAAGGTTTGGGAACACAGGGCTGACCCAACAGGGAGGGGCTAGGTGGCTTCTGTGGCACAATTGCTCCCTACTTTGTGGAGGAAACAGCTCTCTCCTGGGCCATATTGCTGTTGATCTGGGCTGTACACTAGTGGTGCTTCATTCTGGCAAGGGTAACTGGGTGAGGTGTAGGCTAACCCAGAATTAGGGATTTAGAGTTGAATATGAAAGCAATTTTGGAAATTCAGAAACTTTTGATACGAACTTTTTCCATGAGCAAGATACTCAGTGGATTTTTATACCTCAGGGCCATTTTCATTTGTTTTGAGTGGTCTGATAGGAGAGAGAGATAAATTCAGACACTTCTAGGTTGAGGTTCACTTGCCTCCATTTGAGGGATGAGTGGTGCACCAAGACAGCCTGCTGATACTGCTGTCCTTCAAGGCTGTGACAAGTGGGCCTTCCTCCTTTAGCACTTGCATGCTTTCTGCTGGCTGCTAACTAATGCTTGCTTGCTGGTTTTCCCTCTGCTTCTTCCTTAATGGAAGACTCACATTCCAGAGTCCCTGGTCAGCCACAGGACTGGAGGAAGAGATGGCAGATACCAGCAATGGCAGAGAGAGAGAGTGGCCTTCCTCTTGCTGCCTTTTGCTGGGAATCTTCTTTGCTTCTTAGAACTATGGTTGACTTAGCTCAAGTAACATTTTTTTCTGTATACTAAGGCCACTGACATCATCTCAACTAGAATCACATTAAGTATCTTTTGGGAAATACCAGATGGTATTTTAAGCATCATGGAAACAACAGTACTAGTGGCAAGAGTCAAATTTTAAGTGTTTGTATGTCACGGTTTTTATGTGCACAGATCAATGCAGACTTGATGAGTCTGTCAACATTTTCAGGATATAATGCCTGTTGAGACCATGTACAAATTCAAAGAATGATTGATTGGGAGTATTATCTTGCCTTTCTGGTGTTTGCCCATATCTGATGTACACGGACTCACTTAAGAAATGAGTGAGAGCTAGATTCCTCTTCAGAAGCATCCTGAAGAGAACTATTTAATGGGCCCGATGGGCTTGGTTGGGTGCCTGCCCTTTTTGTTGAAGACTCAGGACCCTTGAGTATAAGCAGTGGGCATCCAGGCAGAGCAGAGGAAGTAGGAAAGAATGAGGTCTTTGGAGTCTCATTCCCCAGAGCCCCAGCCTAGCTTCTGATTCATTACCCACCCTGTCTGAAGTCTGTTGTGGAAGGTAGAGTGTATCAATCCATTGACTTTTCTTGTTTTTGCAGTCTTTAAATCCACAAATGTATATGCTTTATTTTATATTATTTATTATGTACATACACCTCTACTGTTAGTATGTCTGTGACCAAGATATGTTCTGAAGCCCCTCATCCATGGAGCTTAGGGTTCTGTTGTCCCTTAAGTTGGATGAGAGGGCAGTGGTGGGTTCCCCCCACCTAAAAAACATGTTGCTGCTCTTATGTTGGCCTCTGTATCCCCAGCCCCCTTTGGGGGGCCCACCTCTACTCCTGATGATCAGTGTTTGGGAGGATTGTGAAGGCAGACCTTCTACCTTGTGGTAGGGCCTCTCAAATCCTTTCATGATGTACTGCAGAGGTAGTTTCTTGGTGACTGGGTCCTTTCTCCGATACAGTGGTACAGTTGGCTGAGACCACAGCCTCCTTCCTCACCCCCTCTCCCAGCCAGGTTGTTTGCCTGGTCCCACAGTGATGGCCTCTACCTTGGATCACAAAATGCTTCTCTCTGGACCACGGAAGCTGCCTGCCCATCTGGGCTGTTAAATTTGCCTTTTCTTGGTGTTGGGGCCCAGTGCCAACATTGCCTTGGTCCTTGTATAAGCCCTGCTTTGTCTGATTTTCATCCTCCTTAGCCTTTACTCACTGTATCATGGTGTACATTTCATGCATTTGAGCAGTGAAGTTTTCTGAACACAGTATTGAGAGCTGTGTGAAGTTAAATAAGCACAAGTCGAGTGTATAGGTTTCATGAGCTGATTGTCATAATGAATGCATTTTATAAATCGAATGTTGTAGATTTACAATTTCTCCTATTTATTTTGTACCAATTTATTTGTAAATTTTGTGATTGTTTAAAAAGGTTTTGTTTATTTCTATTTAGATAAATGATGATTTTCTGTTCACCCTTTTAGATGTGTGTTCCCTCTTTCCCTTTTCATCTATGCAACACCAACCATGCCATCTTGTTCAGGCTTGATCCCTGCCCCACGGCATAGCTCTACTGGTGGGAAAGCCGGGAATGGATCTCAATAGGGCATCTCCTTTGGACACATACTTCAAAGTCTGTGTTAAGAGTGGGTACAAATTCAGTACCTCCAAGTTACAGTCTGGTACTGACAGTTCAGGGGGAGAAGAGGTGTTCTTTCCAAGGAATGAAGTCTGTCCCCCATCAGTTAATCTCTAAATTAAGACAATAAAAAATATTCAGTTAACTCTCCCCAAACACAGGCGCTCAGCCACTTATAAAATAATGCAGTGGGCAAATGGCCATACTGGGGTTTTCTGGGTAAGAACAAAGGCTTTATGTAGGCATCTCAACTGGCTCTTAAGGACTTACAAAGCCTTTCTCATCTTTATCTATATGCAGTATAGGAGGAAGGTCAGAGCAGGCATAGATGGGTCACCCTCAAGTTCCTGGCACAAGTATGGGGCAGTATGGTCAGATGCTCTTTAGGATTCAGTGGACATCCTACATTCCCCAATAATCCAGTATACAAACCTTATTCCCTTCCATCCCTATTTCAGGTCTTCTATTCCTTTACACTCTTCTCACATGACTGGATCCTGAAGAACTTCCAGTCCATCTTCAAGACCCCTCTGTGATCCATTCCTAGGCCCCTTTTTGGAGTTCTTTTTTGCTCTATTCATAGTCTCTATTTTACATTCCAAAGAGAATCATGCTGTAAGAATGGAGCTTCCTGACTGGTTCTTTATAGACCCCACTGATTTAACCATGATGTTTACAGTATACTTACACTTGTCCTGTAGATGGAGACATTTCAGTGAAGAACTGCAGACAAGACTGGCTTTTGAGACCCTTCCTGACCTAACTACCACTCCCACCTTACCAGTTGTTACCCCATTTCCTGAAAGTAGAACAAGGTTTATCCTTATCTAGTTAAGTTTATCTTCTTGGGAGCCTGTTTTTCCTAGTAGCAGGGTACAAAGCAGCATCAGGCAGAAGGAAATCACTGAAGAACATTCATTTCTAACTTATAGCCTTGGTTGGGTTTTCTTGCTATACTCACTCTAGGTGAGTCTTTAGCTTAGCTCGGGAATGCCCAAATAAAGTGGAGGCATATTTTCCTACTCTAAAGGATTTGCCTAAGCTTTTCCTCTGCATCCTTGAAGCTACACATGTCAGCTCATTCTTATGTTTTATTGTGACATGCCTTGGCTTTCTATTTTACATAAACTGTGTTCCCCAGAGCCTCTTCTCAACTTGATGCTTCTGAGGAAACAAATACTGATCTAGAGGAAGTGAATGATACAAACTGAATGACCTTTTCATAGCCTGGAGTTGATTTCTAGAAACTTAACTTTTTTGAAAGTAGTTAAACTTAGAGGCTGACTCCTTATTAAAATCAAAAAGTTGAATTCTATAAGATGGCTAATAAACTCATTTTCTTTGTTTAACTGCTTTAACATTTTCTCTCCAAGGGTCTCACATCTGTACTCATATTTTCAAGAAGTCCCAGGACAAAGATGGTTGTAATTTTTCACTGTTAACTTTCTATTGGCATGCCATCTCCTCTGGTAGATGATTATGAGGCCTGAGAATGCAAGTTTTTAAGGGGGAATGAATTGCCAGACTCCTTTGTTGAAGTGGTTTTCTCAGTAGGGTGCTAGTGATTGTGAAGTGTTCAAACAGTAGACCAACACTGTACAGGAACTTTTAGACTGAGCCACAGTTTTGCTACATCATTTGAGTTCTACATAGTGGGCCCCCAAATAGTTACTTGCTTCAAAATAATCACACCACAAATCAAAGGTTATAATCTGGTGAGAACATTCTCTCAAAAAAGAAGTCTGGACATTTAATAAATATTTTCACTTTGGGGAAGATTTTCTTGGCAAATTCTTTCAGGTATCTTGGGAGCTTGTGAGGCTTGGACCATTCCATCTTCTATGAGAAAAATGTCAACTCCATTATGTTGTTTGGGTTCCAGTTTGTATGGATCTCAACCCAGATTCTTTTAGGCCTCATTTACAAACCTTTGGGGAGAACAGACCAAATACAAATACAGACCAAATATGTGTGTACCTATTTGTACCTAATTTGACTCATGAAGCAATCTATCTCAGCCACTCTTATTCTATTAATAAGTTGGAACCCAGGTATCTTTATTGTATGTGAGGAAAAAAAGGGACTTGAAACTGGTTGTTTTGTTTTAAATTGGAAAATACAAATTACTTAGACGTGGTCAAGTCAGCAAGTTTGAAATGAAATGTTCTGAGTTCAATTAGGAGTACTACTTTGTGTTAAAGCTCTGCACAAGAACTTAAACTACTGAATATCACATCACTTCACCACAGGAACATTTTCTGAGAAATGTGTCATTAGGTGTTTTCATCATTGCAGGGACATCACATGCATGTACTTATACAAACTAAGATGGCTGCAAGATTACTAGGGAATATAATCTTATGGGACTTCTATGGTATACACAGTCCATTGTTGACTGAAGTGTCATTATGCAGAACATGGCTTGTGTTGTTTTTGAAATTACATACCTTTGTCTAATTATTGTAGCCTTGGGATGAAGACATTCTGTCTGAGGGCAGGAAAATGGTGGAGAACAGAAAAGTTGTATTGTTCATTTTGTAAACTAACATTCTATTTTTAGGTTGATTTGCTTTCTGTTATTTTTAAATACTCTGCAGTGAGAGAAGAGTGTGAAATGTTGCTTTACTGTTAGTGGTGGTATCTGATGGGCAGTGTAGTTTCTGGAAATCACCTGGCTCTGCTTTCTGGCTGCCATGCATGCGTCATTCTTCTTTCTCTTTAGTAGTACGCTTGTTCTTTTACCTTCAACAGTGTTGCTTGGGTAGTTCCATGGCAGACATTTCTCATTCTCAGGGCTTCCCAAAGTTGTATACCATTTGAAATTGTTCCATTTGAGGAAATACTTTTAAGAAGAGCTGGATGGCCTAGTTACCAAGAAAGAATGTCATGAGAAACACAAGCATTGAGTCCTAAACTACAAAACCAAGTGAGGAATGAGGCTGTTAATGATATGGCAATAGTTGGATCATAGTTACCATTTTTCCCACTATTAGAGAGGTTAAATAGTTTCCATAACCTGGAATTTGTGCCCCTGGATTCAATCTTCAATGTTGCAAAAAAATTTAAAAAATCTATAACATGGAATGTGGGCAGGGTTCCTACCCTAATAGACTTAAATATGCAGTTGTTTGTCTCTAGCTATTTGTGGTGAATACGCAAAGAATTTTAAAATGCCCAGGCAGCCTTGGAAAAAGAAAAACTATATGGATTTAGAGTTGTTGACAAAATATTTCTTAAAAAAAAAAAATAAGCCTGATTTAGAAATATCTAAACATGGATAAAGTACTTTTAAATCTGACATGTAACTGCATGTGGCTTTTATAAGCAGTTTCTTAAAAATTTCTTAAAAGTAACATGACTTATCAGTCCTATTTAAAACCACTTCTAAAAGCATCTTAGGAAGGGGTAGCTTGGAGGGCTTTGCTTGACTATTTCAGATCTCGGCAGACCAATGCTTACAGTAGAAGAAAGTAGTCTTTGGTCAAAAACACTAAATCTTTTTGGCTTCAAACCATTCCTGAGATATTCCACCAGAGCTTTAACTGACCATCTCTGCAGATGGTCAATTCCTCTCTGAGAGAACCTGATAGTGCCTGGGTTTGCTGTGCCTCTGATCAGTTGTTTCATATGCCTAGGTCCCTGTTAGTACACAATCTTAAGCTTGGGAGTTCAGTCTAGCACTCAAAAAGGATGCCTGATATTCTACAAAACCTGTAAATTGATGTTTACAGAATAGCTATGAAAAAAGTCTCAAAAGATAGTTGATCTAGAGCTGGGGTTGTGGCTCGGTAGTGGAGCGCTTGCCTAACACTTGTGAGGCACTGGGTTTGATCCTCAGCACTACATAAAAATAAATGTATTGGAGCTGGGTTGTGGCTCAGTGGTAGAGTGCTTGCCTAGCATGCATGAGGCACTGGGTTCGATCCTCAGAACCACATAAAAATAAAATAAAGGTATTGTATCCCCCACAACTAAAAAATAATATATTAAAAAAAATAAAAGTATTGTGTCCATCTACAACTAGGGAAAAAATTAGAAAAAGATGATTGATCTAAGTTCTTCAGGGCTTAAAAACAAAGGAAAAGTATATATTTTAAATTCAGCTTGCTTAACTACTGGCAATAGAAATTCATGAAGTCCAATTATAATTGCTCCGAGTGCCAGCCCACAATACTGACCCCATAGCACACATTTAAGAAGAGTATACAGGCCGGGCATGGTGGCACATGCCTATAATCCCAGTGGCCAGGAGGCTGAGACAGGAGGATCATGAGTTCAACCAGCCTCAGCAAGGGGCACTAAAAAACTCTGCCTCTAAATAAAATATAGAATAGGACTGGGGATGTAGCTCAGTGGTTGAGTGCCCCTGAGTTCAATCCCCAGTCCCCTTCACCCACCCCCCCACCAAAAGTGTACAGGGTTAGGGTTAGGATTGTAGCTCAGTGGTGGAGCATTTGCCCCGCATGTGTGAGGACTGGGTTCTATCCTTAGCACCACATAATAACAAAGTTATTGTGTCCAACTTAAAAAATACTTAAAAAAAAAAAAAAAAGTATATAGAGAAGTACCACATTGCTCTGGGTCTTACATTTTTTTGTGTCTGTATGGTGCTGGGGATGGAACCAGCAGCCTCACACACGCCAGGCAAGTGCTCTACCACTCAGCCCCTTGGGTCTTAAGATTTTTTTCATGATATGTTCTGGTGGTCCTGAAGAAAGATATGGCTAACAGAAGAATTCTTATTCCACCTGTGTGCTTTCCACTTCTTAGACCTTGAACACACAGAATCCTTTGGCTATTAAGAAACTCTTATATGAACACAATACAAAAAGTGTG